TAAGTATGTCCTGCCATTCCCTTCTGGCCTGAAGGGTTTCTATTGATAGATCAGCTGTTATCCTTATGGGAATCCCTTTGTGTGTTATTTGTTGTTTCTCCCTTGCTGCTTTTAATATTTGTTCTTTGTGTTTGATCTTTGTTAATTTGATTAATATGTGTCTTGGGGTGTTTCGCCTTGGGTTTATCCTGTTTGGGACTCTCTGGGTTTCTTGGACTTGGGTGGCTATTTCCTTCCCCATTTTAGGGAAGTTTTCAGCTATTATCTCCTCGAGTATCTTCTCATGGCCTTTCTTTTTGTCTTCTTCTTCTGGGACTCCTATGATTCGAATGTTGGGGCGTTTCACATTGTCCCAGAGGTCCCTGAGGTTGTCCTCATTTCTTTTGATTCTTTTTTCTTTTTTCCTCTCTGCTTCATTTATTTCCACCATTTTATCTTCTAACTCACTTATCCTATCTTCTGTCTCTGTTATTCTACTCATGGTTCCTCCAGAGTGTTTTTGATCTCATTTATTTCATTATTAATTTTTAATTGACTTTTTTTTATTTCTTCTAGGTCCTTGTTAAACATTTCTTGCATCTTCTCAATCTTTGTCTCCAGGTTATTTATTTGTAACTCCATTTTGTTTTCAAGATTTTGTATCATTTTTATTATCATTATTCTAAATTCTTTTTCAGGTAGGTTCCCTATTTCCTCCTCTTTTGTTTGACTTGGTGGGCTTTTTTCATGTTCCTTTAGCTGTTGGGTATTTCTCTGTCTTTTCATCTTGTTTAGATTGCTGTGTCTGGAGTGGGCTTTCTGTATTCTTGTGGTCTGAGGTTCCTTTTTACTGTGGAGGTTTCACCCAGTGCGTGGGGTTGGACGATTGGTTTGTCAAGGTTTCCTGGTTAGGGAAGCTTGTGTCAGCGTTCTGGTGCGTGGAATTGGATTTCTTCTCTCTGGAGTGCAATGGAGTGTCCAGTAATGAGTTTTGCGATGGATCTATGTGTTAGGTGTGACTTTGGAGAGCCTGTATGTTGACACTCAGGTCTATGTTTCTGCGTTGCTAAAGAATTTGCGTGGTATGTCTTGTACTGGAGCTTATTGGCTCTTGGGTGGTGGTTGGTTTTGGTGTAGGTATGGAAGCTTTTGGATGGTCTCTTATTCCTTAATGTTCCGTGTAGTCAGGAGTTTTCTGGTTTTTTCAAGATTTGGGCTTAAGTCTCCTGCCTCTGGATTTCAGTTTTGTTCTTCCAATAGTCTCAAGACTTCTCCAACTATACAGCACTGATAATAAAACTTCTAGGTTAATGGTGAAAAGATTCTCCACCGTGAGAGACAACCAGAGAGGTTCACAGAGTTACATGAAGAATAGGAGAGGGAGGAAGGAGATAGAGGTGATCAGGAGGAGAAAAAGGGGACTCAAGAGGAGAGAGACAGATCTACGCAGTTATCTGTTCCCAAAGTGCTCTCCGTAGCCCAGACACCCACAAAGATTCACAGAGTTGGATTGGGAAGAGAAGGGGAAAGGAGGAAATAGAGGTGTTCTGAGGTAGAAAACAGAGAGTCAAAAGTGGGAGAGTAATCACCACACTCCTGAATAGAAATGGGAACTGAATATTGGATTCTTAAATGACCAAAATTTATATCACATACTACTGAAAAACAAAGATTAAAAATCTAGTGTAGAGGTTAGACTCTTTGAAATACAATATTTAAAAACAAAAACACACAAAAAAATTTAGAAATGTATATGAAGTTTGATTTAAAAATAGGGTTTTTCTCTCTCTCTCTCTTTTTTTTTTTGGCAAGGTTATAGTGAAATGAAAATGAAAATTAAGGAATAATAGAGGAGTATTAGAGGACTTTAAAAGGAAATAGGAGAGAAAAACAAGAAAAAGAAAAAAAAAGAAAAAAAAATTTTTTTTTCCCTAATTAAAAAAATCGTAAAAATATATGAAAATGAAAGTTGAGGAGTAATGGGGGAGTAATAGGGAATTTTAAAAGAAAATAAAAGAGAAAAAATTAAAAAAAATTTTAAAAAAGGATAGAAAAAAAATTTTTTTTTAAATTAAAAATATATATATATATATATTATCTAGGAATTTCTCTGGAGTTGTTGCAGTCAGCGTAGGTTCAGTTCAATTTCAGATAGCTCCTCTTTCCAGCTTACACTTCTCAATATCTATAGGCCCCTTCCGGTGTAGTCGGTGTTACCTTCAGGGATTTTCATCTGTTGCACCGGTCCTTTCTGAAGCGGTTCCCTTTGTTTATTTGGCTTCTGTTTGCCGTCTCTTTGGTGCCTAATTTCCGCCCTGACACAGGCGGGCGGAGGTGATCTCTTATTTAGGTTCTCTAGTTCGGTTCAGTCCTGCTACGGGGAGGGCGGGGCGCTGCAGACAGATACCGCTCTGTGCGGACAGCACTCACCGTGTTCTGGCCACACTGGGTTTGCCCCGCTCACGGGTGTCAGTGCTTTCCCCGTCTACACTGCTCAGGCTCCCGGCTGCTCTATATGGAGCGGGCCCTGCGTTGAGTGCGGTTCCAGTTTTCAGGTACTCCACAAAAGCGCAGATTCGGTTGCGCCTGCGTTTTGTGCCTTCCCCGGCCTGAGCGGTTCACGCAGCCAGAGGCTTGGGCGCACTCTCCCCGGGTGCGGCGCGCCTTTTCCCTCCGCGGCGAGCGGCTCAGGCAGCCAGAGGCTTGGGGGCACTCTCCCCGGGCGCAGCGTGCCTTTTCCCTCCGAGTCGAGCGGCCCAGGCGGCCAGAGGCTTGGGCGCACTCTCCCCGGGTGCGGCGAGCCTTTTCCCTCCGCGGCGGGCAGCTCAGGCAGCCAGAGGCTTGGGCGCACTCTCCCCGGGCACGGCGCGCCTTTTCCCTCCGCGTCGAGCAGCCCAGGCAGCCAGGGGCTTGGGCGCAATCTCCCCGGATGTGGCGCGCCTTTTCCCTCCGCGGCGAGCGGCCCAGGCAGCCAGAGGCTTGGGCGCACTCTCTCCGGATGTGGCGCGCCTTTTCCCTCCGCGGCGAGCGGCTCACGCAGCCAGAGGCTTGGACGCACTCTCCCCGGATGTGGCGCGCCTTTTCCCTCCGCGGAGAACGGCCCAGGCAGCCAGAGGCTTGGGCGCACTCTCCCCGGGTGCGGCGCGCCTTTTCCCTCCGCGGCGGGCGGCTCAGGCAGCCAGAGGCTTGGGTGCACTCGCCCGGGTACGGCGCGCTTTTTCCCTCCGCGGCCCCAGCGCGCGCCGCCAGTCGGGTCTCAGGAAGTCTTTAGATAGGAACCGGGGGCCTGTTTGCAGTGTGGGAGGGGGTGGCTTCTCAGGGGCTGAGTTTGCCCTTTTCCCCTACCCCCTGCCTCCAACCTCCAGCGGGGATGGGCCGGCTCTTCTCTGGAGTTTCTCAGTCCCTTTGTTTTGCGAACCGCCGGCAGTGTGTTCGGGCCTGTTATTTTTGACCCTTGCTATCCCACAGTTTAAAAAAGCTCCCTCCGATTGCTCTCAGGGTCTTCGGGCAGGTCCTTACCCTAAGCAATGCCGCCCGCTCCTCTCTGTCCCGCCCCCGCTTGTTGCTGGCGGGTACGGGCGTCTGGGGTACTTTTCTGCTGGGAGTTGCTTTTAGGCACGTAATCTGTGGGCCTTGTTTAATTTTTCCTCCCAGTTAGATTGCTGAAAACTTCCCCCAGTTCCGCTAGTGCGAGGGTTTCCTGGTGATTGGAAACTTCCTCTATTAAGACTCCCTTCCCAGGACGGGTCTCCGTCCGTAGCTCTTTTGACTCCCTTTTTATCTTTTATATTTTGTCCTACCTCCCTTCGAAGACAATGGGCTGCTTTTCTGGGCGCCTGATGTCCTCTGCTAGCGATCAGAAGTTGTTTTGTGAAATTTGCTCAGCGTTCAAATGTTCTTTCGATGAATTTGTAGGAGAGAAAGTGGTCTCCCTGTCCTATTCCTCCGCCATCTTGGCTCCTTCCCCATCCGTGTTCTGTCTTCATTCTCGTCACTCGCTCCCGGACCATCAGGGCACATGGTGGGGATGGGATTTTGTCCTGCAGGAGCACCCAGAGGACGCACCCTCCATCGGGGCCCGAATTCAGTTGTCCTCAAACTTGGACGTGCATTTGGAGCCTGCGGAGGGCTTGCTGAGACCCAGATGGCTGGGCCCCATCCCCAGCATCTGACTCGGTGGGTCTGGGGTGGAGCCATCAGTTTCCTGCTGGCCCAGGGATGGCGCTTTGAGAACCCTGCCAGAGGGACACCAGGGCCCCTCACAGTGGTGACTCTCATCCTGGCCGGGCTAACGACAGGCGGCGCTGCTACAGAGCTTGGCTCTTAGAGAACAACGGGGATGGTAGGGTCCAGCGAGAGAGGCCAAAAGCCAGGGGGTCACCAGGAGCATCACGACTGATCAAATCATCAAGGCTGGTGTGGTGGCCAAGAGGCCTGATCCGCAGGCAGTTATGGAGACGATTCAAGAATGTGGTGCTCCCAGACGTCCCTGGTGGTCCCGTGGATGAGAATCTGCCTGCCAGTCCAGGGGACACGGGCTTGATCCCGGGTCCCAGAAGATGGCACGTGCTGTGGAGCAACTAAGCCGATGCACCAGAACTTCTGAGCCCAAGTGTGCAGTTACTGAAGCCTGCCTGCCCAGAGCCTGTGCTGCACGACGGGGGAAGCCACTGGAATGGCACAATGAGAAACCTGTGCACTGCAGTGAACGGCAGGCCCTGCTCACCGCAGCTAGAGAAAGCCCTCGAGCGGCAACAGCCAGTGCAACCAAAAGTAATTTTAAAAGATAATAATAATCTGCCTGCCAATGCAGAGAACATGGGTTTGATCCCTGGTCTAGGAGGATCCCACAGGTGGCAGAGCAGCTAAGCCCACAAGCTGCAGCTCCTGAGCCCGTCTGCCTAGAGCCCATGCTCGGCAACAAGTCAGCTTTACACCCACGTTTCCTGCCCACAGAGCTTTGTTGACACCACATGCTGACAGCTGGCTGAGCGCTTGATCTACCAGCATGGGATCCCACGTCATACTACAGCGTGGTGGAGGGTCTGCCCCTCAGCAGAGGAGGTGCTGGGGCGTGGGCCCGTGACCCGCGGGCAGTAATACACGCCACACCACCCAGACGCTGCCAGCGAGGAGTGACTTGATGGCACAGCCCGTGGAAGGCGCAGCTGACACGCCAGCTCGTGCTCGGCAAGCCGGGGCGCCACCCCCCAGGACAGTGCGGGCCCAGAGCCCTCTGCCTGGCACTGTTCCTCACGAGGAAGGGTGTGTGGAGCTGGGCACCAGGGGTTGGAAGCTGGAGCGGTCCTGTGTGTCATGCCTGTTGCTGGGTAACACATTACCTCCAAACCTAGCAGCTGAAAACAATGAGCCTTCATTCTCTCAGTTTCTGTGGGTCAGGAGTCTGGTTGCAGCTCAGCTGAGGGTCTCTGGGTCAGGGACTCAAGCGATCACGGCATTGACCAGGGCTGTGACGATCTTAAGGCCTGAGTGGAGGACGACTGGGGATGATCAGCTTTCAAGCTCACTGATGTGGTCGTCGGCAGGCCTCGGGCCCTCGCTGGCTGTTGGCAGTGTCAGGCGAGTGTATGCTCCTCGGTTCTTTGTCTCGTCACACCAAAAATTTGGAGTGACGGATATTAAAGACCCCTTGGTGGGTCACAGCTCTCAGAGGACAGACCGTGTTATAGCTCTCAGGTCTCGAACGGACCGTGTTATAACTCTTAAATAAATCAGTGTTACAGCTCTATTTTATTTAGATAATAGCAGGAAAATCCATCCAAGAGGTGTGAGGGCACGTCAACCCAAAGACGAGAAGAGAAGGGCGCCCCACCGCGCGGGAGAGAGAGAGAGAGAGAGAGAGAGAGAAAGCTTTGGCTCCTCTCTTTATATGTTTCTCTGTCCCTGGGCCTGTCCTGTGTAAATCGGGCCAGCCAGGAGCGTTGTTTGTTTTACCTGAGGTTCTCACTCTGGCCCTCGGACCTTCCTTTGTTCTATTTTCTTGGGCTTTTCCCTCTCAGGTCTTTTAGCCACCGCCATTCTGAACTCCTTTTCCCTGTTCTAACTACCTAACAGCAGGAACATCTGTCCTCTGCCGCGTGGGCCTCCCCCTCCAGCAGCTAGCTGGCTTCCCTTCGAGCACACAGGCGAGAAAGTAGGAGGAGATGCTCAAGGCGGAAGCCACGGTCTTTCCGTCACCTGACCTCGGAAAGGGACATCCCACCACTTCTGCTGCTGGAACTCTGGGCTCTGTGGGGCTAGGGTCCTGATCCCCAAAGCGGGGACACATCCACCAAGGGACACGAGAGAGTCCAGTGGGATGGGGAGCCACAGGTGCTGCCCGGGCACTTCGGGCTTCTTGGGTGCACGGACCAGCCGGCAAGAAGAGTCCCCACTTTGACGGGGAACTTGACCCCGATGCCAAGAGGAGGCAGGTCAGCTGCTGCTCCATAAAATGCAGGTGATCTATTAATACTCAGAGCTTCCTGAGAGTCCTTTGCACAATTAAGACCACAAACGAATGGGTGCAGTAACCCCAGCCTGACAAGGGCATGTGCCTGGGAGATGACGGCCTGGATCTTATCCCCAGCTAAGCCACCAGAGGCAGTAACCAAAGGCAAGGGGCATCTAGAATGGAGGAGAGACAGGATGGCATGCCTGCAGCCATGGAAACAGTTCATCCTGCTAACTTCCCTCTTCTTTTCTTTGATTAAAAAAAAATTTTGGGGGGTCCACAGTGCTCAGCTTGTGGGGGTCTTAGTTTCCCAACCATGGATGGAACCCATGCCCCCAGGGAATTCTGTGATTTCCTCTTTCTAATAAAAGCGAGAAGCAAGGCCAACTGGAATCCTGGGGGACCACAACTCCCTAATATATGGGGGGAGGGGAAGGCGCGTGTTCGATCACCACGGGCTGTGAAACACGATCCCCTTGGAGGAGGAGCCGCCCGTGCCGCCATGGGGCTCGTGGTCAGTCACGCAGAGCAAGGTCAGGCTGGGGCGTCTGTAACTTCAGAGTCTGACTCAGCCACTGGGAGCTGCTTCATCAGAGGTCCTGCCCATCGCAGGGCAGCCATCCTCAGCCAGTGAGCGTAAAGAGGCTGCCCCTTGGCTCACAGAGGACGCTCCAGTGGACGTTCCCCCTCCGGGATGTCCCACCTGCTGGGCTGAGGCTGTGTCAGGCCGGTGTCAGCGTTCACGTTCTCGCGCCTTCCTCTCCCAGGCCTCGATCCCCAGTCAACCTCTTGCACCCCAGGTGCTGTCTCAGTGTCGGCCTCCAAGGAGCCCAAGCTGGGACACCTCCAGGGTGGGGTGCTGGGGGACAGGTCTGTATCTGATCTGACCTCTGACCCTGCACCTGCCCCAGGTGAGATGGCACGGGCATGCCTGGGAGCCATTCGGACACTGAGACAGCTAGGAATTATGGGGCTGGACGTGGGCAGGACTGTGGTCCTCTAATGTGTCCGGCTAAACCTGAGTGGCAAGTGTCATCCACGCAGCTTCCCTCTTGCTGGGGCGCGGAAATGCTGGGGGCCCTCTCCCTGGACACGTAGACTGTGAGTGAGCAGGACGTGGAGGGGAGTCAGGGGTCTTAACCGATTGTGGTTCAAATATCTCACTTCTACAAAATTTGTGAAAACACAGGATGCTGGGAATGCCTAGTCAGAGCCCCTGCCAGGGCCTTCCAAGTAACCTGTGCGAGTGGCAGGCTCTGGAGCTGAAGCTTCATTCACTTCATGGTGAATAGCCTGTTAGAGTGTCTCTTGTCCTGGCATTTAAAAAAACACGCACTCTCTCTATATACTAAAATGTAAATTTGCATCTTGGTTTTAAACAATTAAAAATGACAACTATTCTTCTTCCTCATTAACTCTCTGAATGTCATCATTCTATGGGACTTAAACACTTTTTGTTTTTGCTTTGCCACACCACATAGCATGTGGGATTTTTAGTTCCCTGACCAGGGACATTATGCTAAGTGAAGTAAGTCAGACAGGGAATTCCCTGGAGGTCCAGTGGTTAGGACTTGTCACTTTAACGGTCAGCGACCAGGTTCAATCCTGGGTATGGGAACTAAGATTCCCACAAGTGGCATAGTGCAGCCAAAAAAATAAAGAAAAGGTGAGACAGATAAAGACAAATACTGTATGATATCACTTATATGTGGAATCTAAAAATACAACAAACTAGTGAATATAACATAAAAAAGCAGACTCATAGACATGGAGGACAAACTAGTGGTGGTTAGCAGTGAGGAGAGGTGGGGAGGGACAATATGGGGGTACAGAAGGGGCACGTATAAACTACTGGTGTAAGACGGGCTCAGAGACGTATTGAACAACACGGGGAATATAGCCAATATTTTGTAATAACTATAAATGGAAAGTGACCTTTAAAAATTGTGTAAGGACTTCCCTGGCGGTCCAGTGGTTAAGATGTCATGTTTCCAATGCAGGCAGCATGGGTTCGATCCCCGGCTGGGGAACTAAGAGCCTACATGCCATGCATTGTGGCTTAAAAAGAAAACAGTATTAAAATTGTATAAACATTTTTAAATTTTCAAAGATAAAGAGAATGAAATACCTTTCTAGACACAGAAGAATGTCAAGAGCAATGAGACAGCTCTGAAATCGAGCACAGAGGTTTGTCTGTGTCTCTGGTACAGTTGTGGTGGACACACAACCTACTGCTCTGGGTCAAATAATACTCCCTCCTCCACCGCAAATTCCTGTCTACCTGAAACCTCAGAGTGTGACGTCATTTGGGAATAGGGTCTTGGCAGATATAATTAGTTAAGGTGAGGTAATATTGGATTAGGGTGGGTGCTAATCCAGTGACTAGTGCTCTTATAAGAAAACACAGATGCAGTCACACACACACACACACACACACACACTCACGTGAAGACACTGACAGGCAGGGAAAATGCTACGTGATTCTGGAGGATGGTGTGGGGCATCTGCGAGCCAGGAAATGCCAAGGATTACTGGTGAGCTGGTAACCATCAGCGGCTAGAAGGGAGGAAACCCTCCTGACTTCAGTTTGGACTTCTGGTCTTTCAAACGGCGAGAGAGCACACTTCTGTTATTTTAAGCCACCCAGTTGGTGGGAGTTTGGTAATGTAGTTCTAGGAAAGGAGTACACTTACCTTTTGCCACGGGATGACAATTAGACTTACTGCTGACTTCTCCATATCAAAACTGGAAGTCAGAAGCCAGTGTAATAACACTTTCAAATGGATGAGAAAATACAACTGTCAACCTACAATGGTATATCCACTGAAACTATCTTTCAAGAACTGATTACAAAGGCATTCACAGGTGCAAAATCTGAAAGTATTTACTACCAACAGATCCTCACTACAAAAAAAAAAAATCTAAAGTTAAAAAAAAGGACTTGAGGAAGAATGAAAAGGATTCCAGAAGGAAGGCTGGAGAAGCAAGACAGAATGACAGCTCAGAGGATGTGAAGACAAGAATTCTGCAGGGGCGGAGACTTTGGGAGTCTCAGGAAAGCACAAGAACCCAGCAGCCAGCCTGTTGTTAGGCAGAAACTCCACAGCGAGGGGACAATGGGCCAGGATGGAGTTTTCCAAGGCATGAAAAGAAACTGACAAAAAATGTCTCCCACACCGGTGATCCCTTACGACTCAGTAACTTGGCTCCTGAACCAGCATTATTATTAGTGTTCATTATTAGTTCATTATTAGTGTCCGTTTACACAGCATTTTTCAGAACTATCACTTGGTATAAGACAAAGCTAATTGAGATTTTGTGATGAATTTTTTTTTTTTGCAATGAATTTCTTGAGCAAATGAGAAATCGGTCTATATTCTTGATACAGGTGTATATCTGCTAATTTGTTGATATTTTGGGGGACTCTTAAATGGTTTGGGTAACTAATGTGTAAGTTACCAAAACTGCAGGTATTTTGTATTTCAAATACTTCCACTGACTGGTAAGTGCAAAAGTCTGAGACTACTCAATATTGGGGGCCACTTTCTGGCAATCAGACCATTGTAAAACCAATTAGTTTGTATAGTTAGAAGTTCCCAGATTGTGTAAACATTTACATACCACACATACTTGTGCATTTTGTCAGTGACTGGGGTCCTGTCACTTATTCTTTGTTTTTTCTTGTGTAAGCAAAAGAGATTCAGAGCACACAACCACTTATCATTCTTAGAGATAAATGCATAATATGATATTCTATCAGAGCAATACAAAGGTAAACACTGAAAGTACCCAGATGCT